TTTAATTTTCATCATATTCATGAACATTTACTTAAACAATATTGGTACTTCAGAAGAGTATAAATCGAGGTCGCGTGTTGTAATATAGATTCTGGCACGAAATCCCTTAATGTTCAACGGTCATAAGTGCAGAGTATTATTTGAAGCAGTTTGTCGGCAATTGGTGGAGTCATAATATGACTGAAAATCCTGGAAGGGGCGTTAAAACACTTAAACAAAACTTTCAGTGATTAAAAAAATACGTGAAGAATTAATGTCATTCTATTGTGATGTAATAAGCTTGATCGTTTCTATATATAAGCATTATGTAAAACAGTAGGCAAACAGGTTATTTAGAGCATATGCATTAGCTTTTAAAGGTTCATTGCCTTGCCGATTTATTATGCATAAAGTTTGTATCTCCATTTGTTAAAAAATCACTGCCTCTTTTTTTTATTAATGTTTTAGGAGAATATACATAAATTGCGAATTTTGACATATGCATGTAAGTGCCCCTAATAACGTTATTTTATCTTTCTAAATGCAGCACACAGCACGCATAGATGATGATATACCCTGAATGCCATAGACCGAAATCAATCTTAATGATATATTTATGTAAAGTAATACTTAGTAAAAGGTCTTAATTGTATGAATAATTTTGACATATTATGAAAAATTAGTTACAAATAAGTAACTTTATAGTATAGATGCATTTAAATTCTCCTTTATCCGAATGCAAACTTTAAGAGAAATCTCCTTGATGTTTAGATACTGAAGACGTGAAGATGCGCAGCACAGTTAAGGTTACAAATGGAAATATCCGCGATTTATTAAGATAAAAAAATGCATACTTTATTAGGATGGGCGATTCTATTTAAGATTTATATTATGGATTGATATTAAGAAATGTAATGTGGTTTAATTCTACATGTTGGGGACATTTCGATTTTTTTAAATTTAGATTTCTCACGTGATGTCGACGTCACATGATTTTAGCAATTATACTTGCAGTGTAGAGGTTATCTATAAATTTCAATATTGCAAGGTCATAAACAAGTTAAAAATCTTAGTTTAACTTATAATCCTTTTTAACACTACATGTAGTTTGTGAAAAATGCTGCGAACCTATATAGATACCCTTTTTAAATTGCTAAAATTTAATTTGTTGGTCGGCAGGTTGAATATTTTGCTGGTCAACTACATTAAATATAGCTATAATGAATTTATTTGCAAGTCTTCATGAGGTTCGCAGCACTTTTCAAATATCTTAATGCTTCTTGAGTTGATGTGTAAAAACTTGACAAGATATATTGAGAGAATGCCCTTGCAATGAATCTATTTATTAGGACCATTACATTATTTTTTAATGAATCTGCATACAAACATTCGACAGTATCACATGTCTGGAGAATGTACGGACAGTTTATAAATAAAATACTAAAATAGACATCGCATCAAAGTTACCGGCCTTTTATTTAATTGCAAATAATATTTTATTTGAGAACAAAAGACATTTTTCATTGTACAAAATGTGCCTTGATCAGCCTCTCACTGTGTACAAACTGCGTCATGACGTCACATTGACAATTGCATTGCGATTGATGCATCGTTTTTATGATAAAAGTGATGATTTTAACTTTTCTATCGTCAACTTCCCTTACTTATGCAGCAATATACCTTCATCACCTGCATACGGAGTATACACATCTCAGTTGATTCGATACGCAAGAGCATGCTGTACGTAGGAACAATTTCTGAAACGAGGTAAATTATTGACAAGCAAATTGATTAAACAAGAATATCAGCAGTCTCCTTTAGAGTCACCATTTCGTAAGTTCTATGGTCGATACAATGACCTTGTCAGCAAATATAATTTATCATTAAGTCAAATGCTGACTGACGTTTTTCATACCAATTGTTAGCCCATTATTTATACACTGAATTGAAGACGGATTTTTTTCGTTATTTCCTAATCATGACAAGGAGAACACGGCGGGTGTGACCGGTCTGCAGGGGATGCTCACTCCTCCATGGCACCTGATCCCACCTCTGATGTTTCGGAGGTCCGTGTTTGCTCTGCTCTTATTTTGTATAGTTTAATGGACTATTAGACTGAATACTGTTCGTTATCACCATATCCTTCTTATATACTGCTGTGTGGGATTTAACAAACGACAAAACCACATCTAATAGTCAGGGATGGGGTAATGGTAATTGACTGTAATTAATTACAAATTTCGATGTAATTGAAAGTAATGTGTAGTTGACCAAATTTTCAATTGCAAGTAATGTTAATTTAATTAATAAGTTTCAAAAAGGCATGTAATTCACAATTACATTCAGTTACACTGGTTTTAAATGAATGAAAAATAGTCTCCTCTCCCTCAATTTTATAAAGATTATTTAAGAAAGGTTAATAACTTATATTTTAGACCAAAATTTTTAATAGTAAAATTTCTTGAAAAGAACTTTTTATATAAATTGTTGTTTAAATACAATGCCCCTTTCCATTAAAAAAACGTTTAAATCAAATTAATCTTTGTAAAGTTTACAATTAAAATTCATATTTTGATTTTTTAATTAATTAGTCCATATGAAAATAAGAAGTCCATATCTTCAGCTTGTGTTGGAAGTTATAAACAGGTGCTAATTAGTGTCTTGAGGTTGTATACTTATTCCTACATAAACATTTTCACACCTCTGACTTTGTCTGTTTGTGTTTTAATACATTGTCTTTGACTTTAAAGAGGCTGGGTGGTCGTGGCCATTTTTAGACTATTTAGATCTCCTTTAGAAGAAGAGCTCCATATAAAGATATACAAAAATGTCAAATTTTAAAACTAATATGTATGAAATTTTTCTTTGTCAAATGATAGCTGAAAGCTAAAGATATCATATCTGAAAATTTAAGTTATATCTGGTGATTAATTTTTTGTTAATTTGTTGACCCCCCAGCCTCCTTAAATTGTAAGTTGGCACAGAATAAGTCAAATACCCACATTTTGAGATAAACTTTTGATGCTGAAAAAAGGAAATATAAAGGCAAATTAAAGCATCAAAAGCACATTTAGCATAAATTTGAGCTGTCGGCAGGGGATGCTCCCTCCTCAATGTTATCTTATCCCACCTTTGATGTTTTCGACGATCGGTTTTGCTCTGTTTCTGATTTGTATTGTTTGAATGGATTTAGGAGCTTCTATGCCTTTGTAATAAACACATTTCAATATTCCTCACGATAATTTAAAGTAAGATTGACAGCTTTTTTTTTTTTTTTTTTTTTTTGTAAATGATAGCATGACACTCCTTTTACTCACTTGCTATTGTTCATTTGCAAAATTATTTTGTTAAAAAGATCCTGACTGTACACAAAAGTAATCTTGAATTGATATTAAAACTATGCTTCAGCTTTTGAATGACAATATCTATGATGTTTTTGGAGACGAGTTCTTCTATCAATCTGTCGGTTTTCCCATGGATACTTATTGCACCCCTTTATTAGCAGAGCTATTACTGCTTTCATATGAAGAAGAATTTATTCAACATCCTATACATGAGAAGAAAAAACACATGCTGTGGCATTCTACTCAATACTTACATATATCGACGAATCATTATCAATGGACAATACATACTTCCATTATTATATTGACACGTTATGCAAGTATCCCAATTGAAATAAAAAATACCACTGAGTCTGGTAAAACTGTTCCAAATCTGGATATTTTACTAGGTAAAGACATAGATGATAATTATAAATTAACAACAATGGTTATGTTTAACGAAATGACTTCAACTTTCCAATTATCAACTTCGCTTATTTATGTAGAAATATACGCTTATCACCTGCATATTGGGTTTTTTTTTCTCAGTTGATTGGATTTCTAAAACGAATCAAGCTATTGCCAAACTAGTTGATGAAACAAAAATATGAACAATCTGGTTTAAAGTCATCTTTATACAAGTTTTATGTTCGATACAAATACAAATAACTTGTCAGCAAAAACAATCTATCATTAAGACAAATTCTGATTGACGTTTTTTCTACGCTTTTCACACAAATATTACAACATTATATAAGTTGAATATAAAAGAAATTAAAGAATGCATGATATTTTTTGTTAAGTTTTCCTAATTTGGTAAGGCGTGATTTTTTTATGGACATTAAAATATTTGGTAACTAAACAAGAACGATGTGTTTCAAAAGTGTTTTATTTTTAAGAAATTTAGACACATAATAAAACCCTTTAAAACCAATTTTTTGATTGCTATTATATTCTGGTGGATAGTTATTTTGAAGTTTAAATTTATTGGAAATAAAAATAATAGGCTAACTAAAGGTTCTGCGAGCTGTTAAACCTTACGCGAATGCAATTTATGCAATTTGTTTGTGTTTACGCCTTCTTTTGTTGAGGTTCAGTTTTTTTTTCGAGAAAATACTTTAGTTTTTTTACGTCATTCTTCCCAATATTAATTTTTGTAAACGCAAATAAAATCTAATGTTATCATTAAAATGTCAAACATAACACATATTTATAAAATTATATTTTCTTTCTAGAAAATAAAATGCCTTTTTTAAAATAAATGAATCAGGGACAAAAAGAACGTTAAAGAAATAAAAATTCGAGAGATTGCGCTCTCATTTATTCTTGTTTTATTCCCTCAAACATTATTTTATACAGAACAAAATAAAGATTTTAAAACAATTGATTTGAATCAGGAATTTTTTTTTACGTAAAACAAATAACCTTAATTTTGAATCACCTCTAATATTAACTCAGTTCTTGATGTGGCATACATTTGGCTTCTGTGTTATTCTCATTAATCAAGTTCATTATAATCATATTCTAGATTTGTTTTTAGGGAGGAATTATGTAATGCCATTTAAAATTATGTGCATAGTGCAAAGAGTGACAAGTCATGTAAATTATTGTCATTCATAATGATTGTATAATTAATTCAAAAGTATAAATATTAGATATCCATACTTTTGAATTAAACAACGACTTTGAAAGGACAGCAACATGATGAATTTAGAAATAATTCTTATTTTGGTACTTGTGTGTTTAAATTGCGTTAGTATTAAGATTATTTCTTTATCATTTTTATCGTTTTAATGATTTATTCTTCGTAATTGAAATCAGTTGTAACACTTAAAATTAATTTTGAAGCATGAGTCCAAGAGTATAAGATCTTCTTCAAAAGCGGTGGGAGTTAACCAAAAAACAAGGTAAACCTTTAACTCTAGATATCTCTTCTAGCAATCTGTAGACAAATTGTAGCATTAATATTTAAATTAATAAAAACAAAATTTGCTTCTTCTACAGTCTCTATCCTAGACGGTGCTCAGGAAGGAAAAACATCCATCGGCACGATGAAAATACAATTAAAAACCAACAGGTTATCTCTCTCTTTTTCTCTCTCAATTTATATAATTCGCCTAAATTGAAGACTCGAGGGGGCTATTCTGATCGAAATCTATCCACCGTTTTGTTCATCGCCAAAATTTTTACAGTTTCAAAAAAATCTTGGATTAGAATAACGTTGGGTAAAAATAAATTCTTCAAATATTCAAATGACTTCTTATAATTTTTCTTCAAAATCGACCAAGAGGAAAAAAAAGAAACAATTATTGACATGTATGCTAGTATTAAGCATTTCATTTGTTATAATTGGTAAGTGTGAAAAAGTTGATTTGTATCTTATACTTCATGCGTAAAGTCCAGGGACGTTTAAAAAGATAATTAATAGAGATGATACCAAACCTCGGGCTCTAACTAGAGTAATTGAATGACTAACATTAGACAAAAATTGTACATAAATTGGAAGTTTACTTTTAGAATTATTAAAAAGGTACAGTTTTGGGCATTATTGTGCCCTTAAAATTTGATTTTTGTAAAAAAGATATAAAATTGGTTTATGATAAACCATGAAACAACATGCCCATGCTGGAAATTTGACGTCATTAGCTTGGTACATTTCGAAATTTTAAACAAAAAGTTTCAAAATGACTAATATCAGTGGTTATTTTGCTTAAAAAAAACCAGTGTCCACAGCCGTCGCCAACTTCATTTTTCATATATCTATTGTAATATTATTTAAAATGTCATATTTCTCAAAATTTTTCTGGGCAATGCATGTGCTCTTTATCATCTGAAAGAACATTTCACTGAAAATTGGTGTTTTCTGCAACTTTCAAAAAAATACGGGAAATACACAAGTTCCTGGTGTAACAATTAGCATATAAGAGGTCATTTAAAAAGATTTGTATATTCTTATATCATGAAAATCCGATCTTTCAGAAAGGATAAACTTTAATTTCTTATTTCATTTCAATTTTTTAAACATATATCAGGCCAAATTTATAATTAAACTGTACCTGGTTCTTTTTTATATTACCCTTGCTAATCGACGACTATTTAACTGTGGCGCTTATATATATTTAATTGTCCCGGAACTTTGGTGCTTTATTTTTAATTTGTAAAGCAATGAAAATAAACTGTAACAATGCCGCCAAATTAAACGTTTTGTGAAATAATACTGACAATCTCAGGACGTTAGGTTGGGACCTTGAAGGGACATTGAATGGGGCCTTTAACATGAGAACATTAGACATTTCTTTGAAATTTTTTCTCTCATACAAACATATGGACTTTGATTGCCACCGGAAGCAAATTTGAAAAATCATTTTTTTTTTTTTACTTTTTAGTTTTTTGAATATCTTTTTTTTGTAGGAAAAAAAGAAAATCTTGACAGAATGCATATATATATTCTTTTAAAATTAATGATTTAGTCTGGAATTCGTCATTTTTTACTTTGAAGCGCGCATCTCCATTAGCGTAATGGTTAACGTCTTGGATTTTCGCACACGGGCGACACGGAATCAATCCGAAGAAAGTCCGATTTTCTAAGGGTATATTTAATTTACGATTTTGTGTGGTATTTCTTTGATTTTAAATTTTGTATATTTCACTATCATTATTTTTTATGTTTGGGGGAATTTTTCGAGAATTGTACCACGATAACACTTGCAGTGTTATGAAAAAGGAATGATTCTCTGATAAAGAAGATGGAACGGAAGGCCTTCTTGTTGCCGTGGCAACGAGGTTCTAGTTATAATTATAATTGCAGATTTTTGATTGTTCAAAATCTGTCTTTCTTGGATAGGGTAGGGCCACTGTAGAGTATCAACCTTTTAAATTGAAATATATAGAAAGCATACTTTCAAAAAATCTTTACGCAACTAAAGAACCACCATGATGTTAATATATTACGCAAATCTTTTAAGGCCATGTAAATTTAGGTTTAGAGGTCTCTAGAGGTGGGATGGGTAGAAAACCTCAAGATCCCTCATTTCAAAATTCAAGTATCTTCAGGTAGTGTTGATTAAGGTTTCATCAAAGCATTGTCCCGAAACAACGATGGGTCCGAGTATTAAGGAAAACAGGCCATTATTACTCAGGTGAGCATTGTGGTCCATGGGTCTCTTGTTTTTGCAGTCCGGTTCAAGCGAATCCAAAGAAAATGAAGAAATAGATGAGAATAATAAAGCGGTCCAAGCAATAGCCGTCAGTACTAATGAAAAGAGGGTAAATGTTATAGATACAGTGTCAATGGTTAAACCGAATGAAGAAAATTTGCCAATGACAACTGACAACACAGATAGGACGTCGCCAGTTCCTGAGGAAATAGGATTTACGCATTCTGGGGCTGATGAAATATGCTGGGATTTTGAAGGAGACCGCTGCTATGACCTGATGTATTCACTTGTGGTAAGGGCAACGCATTTTCTTCATTTACCACGTATATCAATTACTATTAGTATCAGGGTTGTCATGTAAAGGCTGCACATCAAGTAAGGTAATTCTCACCGCCTGCGTTGCAATCTTTCGATATTTAGTAGAAATCAAAGTACGGAAAGTCATACAGGACGGAGATATGAATAGGAAATTTTATAATTTGCACAGTTTCATTATCTATCTGGTATTTACAATATACAGCTGTACGGTATAAGATATATTTAAACTCTATTTTATAATATTGCATCATTCGGTATATAAAATGTCTTTTAGGCGGTAGAAAATTGTTACAGAAAAATGCAAACACGAACAGTAGAGGAAGACATAAGTTTGAGAAAAGGCTTTTAAAAGGATTATATATATATATATATATATATATATATATATATATATATATATATATATATATATATATATATATATATATATATATATATATATATATATATATATATATATAAAGTAATCAAATACGACCTTACGATTGAAACTGATAAATTTATTATTTTTTGTGAATGAATTGTGATTTTGTGATGCAAAGAACCTATAATAATAGTATAAAAATGTACAGAGAGTTTGTCAAATACTTATTAAAACTTTATAATGTAAAAATAATCATCATAATCAACCATAGAAATTATAATACAGACTGAAAATCGAGTGTAAACCTTTCGGCAATAAGAATCGTTTTATACAACAAAATTTTGATTTTTTGTTTAACCTTTGACCCAAATATCTAAATATAAGTAAATTGATTTAGAAAAAATACGACGGCAGCTTACCTGATCTTAGAATTTACTGTGCTATATACTAGCTGTAACTATGAATGCGATAAATTAAACGTAGGCTGTATCGCGGTAAAGATTAATGCGCAGAGATATTAGTGAGGTTGGGTACATAATCCACGTTTCTCATAATGTATTTTCGTTTTGATACACAAAAAAAGTGTGTTTTTAATTTTAAAACAAAACTGTTGGTATAAGTTAAAATTTGATTTTCAAATCATATCTATTTCATTGTTTCCTTGTTTAGTGGTGTATTAAAACCTTAAGCTAGTTTTATGAGGGGTTTTTTTCAGCTTGACAAAGGAACCAAATGTAAAAGTGATGAGGATTGTGAGGGTACGTTCTAATTTTGTCTTTTATTGTTCGTATTCTTAGAACTACACAGTACATGTAAGGTGCCCAATGAAAATGAAATGTTTTATACAATATAGAATACAATCATTTATATCATGCGTCTGTACTGGTCAGCAGGGGATGCTCACTCCTACATGGCACCTGATCCAATCTCTGATATCTTGGAGAGGTTCGTGTTTACTCTGCTCCAATTTTGTATTGTTTCATGGACTTTTGAGCTTAAATATTGTTCGTTATCTTCATATATTTCATCTGTTGTTGAACGCCGCTCTAGAGAACATTACATGCATATGAAGATGCCACCACTTGCTGGCGGAGGGGTTGAAAATTTAAACCTAATACGTATACTCGGAACGGAAGACCATTGAACACTGAGGGGTTTTTTTTGCGCCAACACCTACTGCCAAACTGCACTATTCGTAGGACTGGTCTCCACGTCTCGCAGTGGAGTCGATCCCGCGATGTAAGGAACATCTCCTTACTCCGCGACTCTAGAACTCTAACAAATGCGCCACGCAAATAACTAAAAATAATTTTAATTATGTTTACGATTGTTTGTAGTACTTATATCGGATTTTAATTATTGTAATAAAATACATTTTTAGGACGACAAAAAATCCATTTATTTGGTTTGACAGTCACGAGATTAGCACATATACTAAGTTTCACAGCATTCATGTCACCTCGAAATAACAATAGTGCAAGATCATAACAAAGTTAAAAGTCTAATGAAATGTATGGAGATAACGAACAGTAATCAAACTCAAATTATTTTCTAAGTCCTTTTAAAAATCAGATTTAGAGCAGAAGAATCAGAGACCTTCAAATTATCAGAGGTGGAATCATGTTCCTTAGTTTAGTTAAGATCCCCTGCCGACCGGTTGCAACCGCAGTGTGCTCCTTGTCACGATCAGGGAATAATGGAAAATCTGTCGATTATTCAGTGTGTAACTAAATGGCCTAACAAGTAATAACAAAAACGTCAGTAAGCATTAGACTTAATGATTAAGTTTTGACAAGACCATTGCATAGACCTTGGAACTTTAGAAATAAAGACTTTAAATGAGATTGCTTATTTTCTTGTTTCATCAACTTGTTTGTCAATAACTTACCTCGTTTTAGAAAATGCTCATACGTAGAAGCATACTCTTGGGTATCGAATCAACTGACAGATATAAAACCCCGTTTGCAGGTGATGAGGGTGTATTGCTCCATAAGTAAAGGAAGCTGGCAATTGAAAAATTAAAGTCAACACGTTTATCACAAAGCTTGGTTGTAGGATTACCATTAACGTCTTTTTCAAGTAAAATATCCATGAAACAAATGTGTCAGCCTCTGTGCAGTCTTTTTTTTTCAAGCCCACCGGCACAAATCTTATCGACATAAGAATGGAAATGACCATTGTTTATTGACACTACGTCGTCAATATATCTAAATGCCGAGTTGAAGGGCACAGCAAGCGTTTTCTTCTTTTCACGTATAATTTTTTGGACAAATTCTACTTTATATGAATGATTGTTAAAAGTGAAGTTCATAATATTCACCCATTATTATAGTATTTTGTGAAATATACTGTTATAATTTATAGATTCTTTTATTATACCTCTGTGAATTTGTTGTTATAAAATATAACGAATAAACATGCTATCTTTTCCAAACAGCCACTACTTTGAAACAGTTTTTGTGCTATCTGCCCATGGTGAAATAGTCATCAAACTATTTACCAGCAGTATTCCGTTGCCCTCGCTTTTCATCTCGGAACCCTTGTGGTTTTATACGTTTTGTGACGGACATTTTATGACGTTACAAAAGTAAAGTCAGCATGGGTATAATAAAACACCTATTTACTGACTATTCGGACAAAGGCAAGTTTATCACCCCTTTTCGACAGCAAACTATTTCCCTCTGCTGCCTCTTGGGAAATAGTTTGCTGTCTTGGGGGCGATAAACTTGCTTTTGTCCTCATAGCCAGTAAATAGGTGTATACTATTACATTATAAATTCATTTTTGTACGACTGCATGCTGATTGTTTTTTTTTTTTTCAAGAACCTTATATATCCTTCTGATATATTTGCATACAAATATACGTTAGTATCAAGTAACTAGAAAATGATAGTAAAATATATGAAGAATATCTAAAAAATGTCATTGCATATAAGGCATTCAAATATCTCCATTCAACTTTTTTTTTATTATAAAGTGCATTTGTCGTCATATTACATGTAAGTAATCATTTCAACTGCTTTTCAATGGATACAAAAAAGCGGTTCAAATTCATCATATCAATTACTTTTCATTGCATACAAGCTATACGTATATGCGTGAAAAATTCTTCAGTGGGACGTACAACTACAACACTACGTATAAACTACGTCTAGCTTTAAGAAATTGCCTCATATCACAAGTTTAGAACGATCAATGACTCGCTTATACAGTAAAACTCAGTTATACCGAAGTCCTGGGGACCAGTGAATTTAATTCGCTATATCCGTAATTCGTTATAACAGTATAACGAATTCGTATTATCATATATAGCGAATTCGCAATATGCATATTTTCCCTCAAGTATTACTACCAAACATGTTAGTGAAGCAAATATTACAAAACATACTAGTACCTAGATAACTAAGGTTTGTTATGATCGAATTGAATTTTAAAAACAAAAGCTAAAAGAAAAAAAAGTCAGTTCAAACTAACAAATTTTGAGATCTTTGAAAGTTCGTTATAAAAGATGTAAATTTCATTATATTTAACCTCAATGGGACTCAAAATTTGTTCGCTATATCCGTAAATTCGTTATATCAGAGTTCGTTATAACCGTAAAATTTTACAAATATTTGGTAAGAATTTTTCCGGGGACCTAGAAAGACTTCGCAATATCCGTGAATTCGCTATATACGTGTTCGTACTAAATGTGTTTTACTGTATCTTGCTATATTGGATTTTACAAACACGAATTAGCAAATTCGGTGTAGTTTAATGCTCTGCTATCGTTTAAAAACGCAAATAATTTCAATTTGTATTATTTAAAAGGATTGGAAGCTGTGTGAGATGTCAAAGTTAATTAATTATTAATTATATTATAATTATATTTATTATAATTATTTATTAATTAAGCTTTATTTTCTTCTTAAAGTCTGCGCTACGTACAGATCCGTACCTCACTTTAAAATTAAAAATAAGTTATATACATGTATTTATAAAATTTATTTAAAGGAAATATAACCTTTCTTTCTAAAAAGTTTTGATTACTCTGAATTTGAGAAAAATAGGTTTAAGAAAAAAACATTTAAACTTCAAGGAATCATAATATTTCTAAATCGATTAAAATTATGTGGAGAAAAATTTATATACAAGTGAAATTCCTCGATTTTGTCGTTGTAATTAATAGGTTTCTTGTCAAAACTAAAAAAAAAACAGACATTCCAATGTCAAATTTTTGAGACGCCCTGTCAAACCATCAGGGCATAGAAGAGGTTAGAGTCACTAGTAAACAAAAACAGATGAAAACAATAACAGCCAGCACTACAACAAAGTTACTTAACTCTATCTATTTACCATTTAACATTATACGAGGGGTGATCAAAATGTTCGCGAACTAATTGAATCACTTCCATAAAAGAAACAATATTTGGTTTTAATGTTGATCAATTTTGAATTGATCCTCCCCAATTTTAATGCACATCAACAACCGTTCTGCGCATGCGTGAATAACGTGATATTGGCGGTCACCTGACCCCCTCCGTAGCGTTCTGTCACAGAAGTTTTAAGATTTTTCTGAGTTTTATATTTCTTTCCATGTGATTTTATTTTTATGACAAGAACAGTTCATTTGTCAGATATGGACATATCTCGGCAGCGACTGAGCTAGTCGATAAACTGGGTAGCAACTGTTCCTTTGTAATGCGCTCGGCACTTTAAAGTGAAAGTTGCGGGTCCTTTGTCAGCGGCAGGCATTGGCACGATAAAGATCCCTCACTGCTCAATTGTCATGAGTGACGAATAAAGATCAAAATTTGAAGCACTTCATCGGCATACGATGACGTCTCCATATGAGTGAAAAATTCTCGAGAGGGACCTTAAACAATATACAATCTATCAATCAATATAAAGAACAAATTCACAGAGGTATAATAAATTGAATTAAAAGATGTTATCTAATTATTTTGAAATGAACCCGTATAACTGCGAAGCACCTGCAGGTGTATAGTATTTTCTAGTATTTTTTTTTTACAAATATGCACATTTAAACCATATCTATTTGCTGTATCTTATGTAAAGCTTATGTCATCACTAGTAATAGTAACACGTTTGTGTACACATAAACATATTTATCCTGCAACTACCCCTTGCATTGACCTAATAAAGGTAACCTAATAAACCAAAGCTTTATCCGGTCACTGCCCTAATAAAGCCTCGTGCATGTATTCCGACGTTCCAAAAGCATTGTGACGTCACGTATACTGCAATGTAACATTGCAGTTGTTTACGCCATGGCGTCATAGTTTCAACTGCAGAGATGTGCCTAAATCTGTCGGAATTAGCTTGTTTTGGACGCTCAAATGTAAAATTTTGTTGCAGGATAAACAAAATACACGATAACTGTCTTGAAATATAAGCGATATTTGGGCTCGGGTCGAAAACGTAAGAGGGCTCGGCAAGCCTCGCCCTCTATCACGTTTTCTTACCCTCGCCCAAATATCGCTTATATTTCAAGACAGTAACCATGTATTTTATATATACAATGTGCATGTATTCAGATTTGTTTAATTTCTACTCCGCCTGTAGAGTCTATTCCAGGCCAAAGTGGAAAATGCTGTGACCTTCCTTGTGATCATTTGACTGATTATTATACGATTCCTGAGAAGTTGTGCCGGTACCCTGTAGATAATCAGGATCTCAAGGACTCTTTCTCTCCTGCTTGGACTCGGGACTTTTGAACAAATATCCCCAGGGCAAAAGAAAACCAAAAAAAAAAAGAAGAAATGTAATAGGTCATGTTTTGAGATAATATAAAAACAATACATGCATTTACAAGAACAATTTTGTTTGATCTTAATTCTAAAACGTGTTTTTGTCCTGGAAACATGAAGGAAAAGTTAATCGTGGATAAAAAAAATTTGGATGTTTATCAATTTAAAAAAAAAAAAAAAACTCTTCAAATTATAACTCACCAATCATTGGCAAACCTTGCTTAAAATCTGTACATCTTATTTATTTACAAATTAACGTATCCAAGATCTGAATTTACTCTTCTATATTCTATCTACAAAAATAGGATATTTTACTTCAATGATTCTAGACTTAAAAGAATAGAAGAGTTTCCATTAGCATAAAATTTCTCGATCCAGACACTCTTAGGGCGCATTTTCAGTTGAAGGGGGGGGGGGGGTTGATCTAAGATCTTACATATAAAAGGTACATGTAAGGTCGGGGTTTATTGAGGAGGTACATTTATGACTGTAAATGAGCTTAGAATGAATACTTTATATTCCATACCCGGGTCCTACAGATCTGGTATCATTAATAAATGTAATCTTATAACAGCATAGAGGAAAAACACTGGTAAATACTAATCTAAACACACACAAAACAGTTTACAGGTGGGGTATTGTGATAAATGGATATCCCCATTTAAAGGTCTAGCTAGGTTACATCGTTCTTGCAGTTTTAGTGATTAGACCATGAAATGTTTTCTATATTACATATGTAAATTAAACCCAGCACTTCTTTATAATTTCTGTTAGAAACAAAGTCCTATGGTCCATAAATTGCAGTCCTTTTTTAAAGGATAGCAACTTTTTTTCCTATTTTCTACAACGTTAAAGCCGCCCTGTCCTATTCTAATCGCGAAAAAATATATTCTTTTTTCTTCTTGAAAAGTAATAAATTCCAAAAATGTTTCAATTTTTGTCAAATTATATCCCCAAAGTCTTTTTCTTTTGAAAGATATCAAAATTCACAAGTTAAAAAAAAATAATTTTGGTAGGTCACTAAGTGACAAAGTAATTACATATTTAAAAAAAAAAATCAAAAAATAATCCTACGTTGAAATCACCTTCAAAAAATTTAATTTATTGCTTATGTCTCATGAAGAACAAACCCTAGCATTTTTTTTCACAACAATATTTTTCCGGACAATATTTTAGCCTTCGTTACTAAACTTCCTTTAAAAAAATCTTGAAAAATATATGACTCTCCTTTATTCTTTAAATATGCATATTGATATACAAGTTAAAATTACTATGAATTATATTCAATAGATTTCTTATTTTTTAAAAGATATATTATGACTTAAAGTCACACCAATAAAAGAGCCATAGCTGCCTTACCAACGACTCGGCCTACACAAGTATTTAAAAGGAAATCACCTGTTTCTATTTATAGATACATGTACCTTTTCAAATCACAATCACATGTATGTAATCATTTGTGAACCAGTGTTATATTTTCTTAGTTGCAAGTTTGTTGCATGACAGTAATTCTTCTTGTCTAATACTCTTAATTTAAACAAGATTGTTTGAAAATTTTAAAAATAAAACAGACTAGCAGCTATGACTTTGGGTCATTAAATAGTTTAAGACTGTTTTTTCCCAAGATACTTTCAATGTGTAATGCATTAAATATCTCTTTTAAAAATTATTTATACATGTATTATAAAATAATAAAAGAAAACATAGGAAAATGCACAGGAGAAAAAAAAATCATTGTACAAGCACTGTAGGGCTCGAACTCACGATCATTATATCCTTAATCCAGCAATCTTACCACTATGCCACGAAGTCTTGGTTATCAATTGGATTAAATTAAGACGGATTGTTGAATTTTTAAATATTTTAGAAGAAAAATTAAATACATATTTTCAACTTTTTCAATATGAAGATCACCTTTAACCAAAATTATCTAAGCGTAATGAAGTGCAGTCATATTCAAATAAAATTATTCAGAAGTTGTTTTTCTGGTTAAGGGTGGTCTGTGGCAACGCACTTTGAAAAAAATTACGCACTTTGAAAAAAAATTTCAAAGTGCGTTAAAATTGGGACAAAATCAACGCACTTTGAAAAATTTTTTCAAAGTGCGTTAAATTTGGTACCAACACAACGCACTTTGAAAAAATTTTTTCAAAGTATGTTAAGAGTCTACATCAATATATTTTACCATGGAGACACTTAACGCACTTTGAAAAAAAATCATATTATAGTCATGAAAAGATTTTATTTGTTATTTATCTTTCAAAAATCTAAGCCTAACCCTAACCTCAAAATGAATTGATTTTACTTCCGTCGAAAAGAGGAGAAGACGGGTATAAGATCCATAAGTCCAAATCTTTATCTTTCCAATACATAGGTGTCGGCAACAAACGGGGTAGGAGATCAATACACCTAAAAAGGGTACGCTGCATTTTCAATGCTTATACGATGTATATATCTTTCCAAAATAAGTGGGGGGCTTAGCCCCCCCTCCCCTCCCCTGGCCCTTCGCCCAGTCTCGATGTCTATGCTATACTCAAAGCATTCATATAATTATGTATTTACCTAACTGGTATGACGTTGAAAACTTTCAATAATAAATGAGTTAATGAAAACAGATGAAAACTAGAAATTTTTAGGTACAGTAAAACGCATGAGAAAGAATTTTCATAGTTTTGAACAATCAAATTGGCCCCTTTTTATTATGATGAATGCTAAGTTGCTTGAAGCTGTCCTCTATTAGTGCCCCCTATACACCTTTACATCTACTTATCAAAGACTAGAATTTAAAAAAAAAAGAAGAAACGAATTAATGAACTTAAACAATCGTCACTCTTTTTTTCAAGACTCTCTAATTTTCCCTTTTATCTTATCAAAACCTTAAATATTTAAAACGTCAATATCTCAGGTCCTACAGTGACTTTATCATAAAAAAGTTATGAAACCAGGATCTGTTATTTATCATACCGATTATTTGAAGAAATATTGATGAATCTTTGCATTTTTTTTTCAAAGTGCGTTAATATGGTCGATATCAACGCACTTTGAAAAAAAAATATTTTTTTTCAAAGTGCGTAAGCTTGGTCCCAAATTTTAACGCACTTTGAAATATTTTTTCAAAGTGCGTAATTTTTCAAAGTGCGTTGTAACAGTGGTCTTTTCCTACAGTTTGTCATTGTTTAGGGGGGTGCCTCAGTATTTACTAATATTCTCCATATAAACTGAACAATTTTTATAACTATCATATGAGGGAACTATTATTAATTGAGTATTATTTTTGTGTGAGTTGCTTTAAGGCATGTATAAACTAACATTGTATGACCAAATTTTTGTTAAACAAAGTATTTCAAAAATCACTACTAGAGTAGGCGAAAGTTACTATATAAATGCGCTATGGCTCTTTCTTGTTCTTCGGACAACTGACCCTAAAAAATTGGGTCGAACGAGCGATTTGATTATCATAATAATAAAATTTTTATCAAAAGAATTTTCAGGCGGTGAAGTAAAATAACGAAGCGGGCGATTATATATTTTTTTGTTTCCTTTACATTTCTAGAGTAAATAATTACCAAATCTTCTCCAATTGCCCTGATCATGTAAGACATTCAATATTCCAATATTCAGCGTATTATTAGGGCATTTGATACAGGTTCCTAATTTCATAAAGGTACAAAATTCTGTAAATAAATATCCCAATAATATAGAATATTAACTATCCTGTTCACCTCAAACCTTTGGTGTTTTCTGGAATCCATATTTTAGTCCTGTACAAGATTTGCTTGGTTTAATACATGTACGTACATTGATCACTCTTAAAAAGTGTTTGTTACCTCCATATTTAACATATATTTGAAAACAGTATTAAGAAAATGTGATGTGATCAAGAATATGAACAATCACATAAACCTGACCAATTACAACAGCACTACTGTTATTATAATAATTATTTTTCTGTATTTATGCATAATATCAGAACTAGCTGAACATCGCCCCAAATTTTACTTTAAAAAAATAAGACATTGTAGACCTGTTGACAAGATTGTCTCATTAATATTTATCATTTACAATCATGCCAGTAGTGATAAGTTATTATTGCATATAGTAATTGACAAATATATAATAAATTAAATTGGTATAGAACGCAAAAAACAAAGTTGATTATCAGTAATAAAATGAGAAAATATCATTAAAATCAAAACCAATTCTTTCTGCTCTCAAGAGTTGACTGGTATACAGTGTATATTTCAAAAGTATCAAAGATGTTTAAATATATTCTGGCTAATTCACGACAACTTGGAGTTAGTACATGTAAAATAAGCACAGAATCTGCTCAAGAATTGTCTGGGGTGGAATCGATTCTACCTACAACTTGCATGCACTGTGGTTCAACTGGTGGGAAATGGATCGGAAATTTCCGGAAGCGGGGAATTCAAAATAATACTTTTTTTTTACGTTTCTCTAAAAAACGAGCGGGCGGGTCCGACGAACAAGAAATTTAATTAGTGTGGTCTAACGTTAGGCTTTTACTAATGGAAAAAAATACTCGGGTCTAATTATCATCATAATGAGATACCCTAAAATCTTGAAAATAAGACGGATTTGATAATAAGCCGGTTTTGAAAATAAGCCACCTATTTCTTGCATTAAAAATTACTCGAAAATAAGCCAGTTTTGAAAATAAGCTGGTCATGACAAAGCCATATATAGGAAAGATGTTAAACGTTTGACGTTTAAACGTTAAAAATTCGACGTTTGAAAATTTCGACGATTTTTTTTACTATGCAAAATAAAACTGAGTTATCTTTCTTTAATTCATTAAACCTTTACCAATTTCTGCATACGACATAGTACGGAAGTCTGTAGCTACTAATGAACTTGTGTAAAATTACTAATAAAGGGTTGTTTTTAAAGTTAATTTATTTACCAATAAGCATGTTACGCTGGCTAAAAAAAAATTATTGCGGAACCAGCTGACATAGTGAATTTTTTTTCATGAAATTATCAAAAACAATAATTATCTCATCCAGACCTGTACATGCTAACGATGTGTTTA